GGGGACAAGGTGGGGATGGGGCACAGGGGGGATCCATGGGCTGGGAGGGCTTTTCCAACCTAATAATTCTGAGATTCTGTAGGATACAGAGATTTCAGCTTTTCTGAGAAATATTCAGACAGGAAAAAGTTTAAAAAATCTCTAAGCAGAGAAGAATCTGACTTGCCAAAGGAGCATCTTCCCCCTCGATCTCTGTGAGCACTGAACGGCCTCCAGAGCCCTCAGCACAGAGAATTAACTGGGAGGTGTTCCTGGGGCAGCTGCAGAATCCCTGGGGCTGATGGCACTGGGGCAGTGGAGCTGTGAGCAGCTCTGCCTGTTCACCACCACGCTCCCCTTGCACATCACAGGGAATTTCCACGCCTGGAATGGTCTGGGAGAGCTGCTCCACACTGTGCTCCCCTGCACTGCTGACCCAGGGCAGGGGGTTATTCCTGCAAGGAGCTCACTGCTGAATAAAACAACACTGTGAGGACTCTTTTCTGGCCATGCAAATGTGCTGCCAGCAGAGATGCACTGAGAGAGAAATGTTACTTCGTGGCCTTCCACACAGCTAAGAGCTGCATTCTAAAAATGCAGAGCTCCTCCTAAAATTTGGAATCAGTCAGCAGGACTGCAGGAAAACAGGCTGACACACAAATGCTACCAAAGACAGGAGAGTCAGAGGAGCAGCTAAGTAGGAAAAAAGGAAAGAATTAGAGTTTGAGGTGACAGTGGTACTCCTCCAGCCTGTGCTTCACAGGGGTGACAAACCCAGCTCTGCTTTCTGTGCCTCCTCACAAGCACCTCAGAGCTGGACCTGGGCAGGCCAGAGGTTTTCCAGCTTCCATTTCCCTGTGGTTTTCAAGGAGTTCTGGAGCCAGAGATGCCCTCTGTGGATTGAAGTGTCCAAACCAGACTGCTCCTCTGGGAAATGCCCTGTGAGCCCATCTGTGTGCCCCCACAGCCCCCACAACATCCTGGCAGGGGTTTCCCAGCACAGCTTCATCTCCTGGTGTTCCCCACGTCCCACCTCACACCAGAACTGATGTTCTGGTGCTGGAAAAGGCAACGGGTTCTACCAGACCCTCCCTACCCCTTCAGTGTCCTCGTGGATTTAAAGGTGTGCTCTGAGGTCCTGGGGAATCTTCATCCTTCCTAAAGCAGTGCCTTTCCTCCCAGGCAGTTCTGATCAGACCCATGTGTCACACTCTCTTCCTGCCCTCTGCAAAGGGCATCAGGAAAATCACATTTCATTTCTCAGTGGCTCCATTATGCTGATGAGTTCAGGGAATTACACTGTGCCTGAGCCTTTTGGTTTCCATTTCAAAGCAACTCTGCCTGAGTTCCTGAAGTGTGTGATACTACACTCAATTTTTAGCTCCATTGCTCTGCTCCTCTGAAGCCCTTCAGTGCTTTCCCAAAGCCAGCATCACCTCTTCCTGGAGCACTGATCTCTCCTTCTGCTCCTTTATTCTCCCTCCCCTCTCTGCACTATGAGCTTTACTGTATTAATATTTTTCAAGACATTCATCTGTGTCAAACCCTCCAGGTCCCACCCTTTGCTGGGATTCTCCCAAAGCCTGGACTAAGCCCATCCTGAGTGACTGTCACGGCAACAGTTCTCCCAAACTCAGCAGTGGTACAACAATAACCCCACCAGGAACATCCTCAGCTTCCATAGGTGCTTTCACACAGGATTTGACACACCAGTGGTTCTGTCCTGGGCAAGCTCATTCCCCTGGAAGGCCAGACCCAAGAGAAGTGTCCATCCTTCTCCTCACACCCTGGGACTGCTCCAAAGCTCCCTGACCCAGCCTGGCACTGCCCCAGCCCCACCTGCCACCCAGTTCTCCACGGTCTCTTATCCCAACTTGGTTTGCAACAGGCACATTTCCATTTGGAGCACTGGGAAAACACCCTAATCCCAGCTTGATCCTTACTGAGCAACAACCCCAAATTTAACAGCCATGGAGTATCAAATTGCTTCTGCCCCCTGGCAGGGTTTAACTGAGCCTGACCTTCGGGTTCTTGCTTTACTCCTCAACAGGCATTTCAGAGGCCATGGCACAGCTGAGGGCTCACCTTCCACAGCCAGGAGGAGAGGGAAGGAGCTGTCCTGCCCTGCAGGGAAGGGAATGGTGGTGCAGGGACATACCTGAAGGATGGGGCTGTCCAGAGGGGCCTGGACAAGCAAGAGGAGAGGCCCCGGGGAATGTCAGGAGGTTTAACAAGACCGAGAGCTGGTGCTGCACGACCCACACTCTGGAGCAAGAAGAGCTCCCAGAACAGCCTCAACAACACTCCAGTCACTGAACTGCTGCCTGGGGGTGAAGCATCACTGTGTCAGCACCAAACACAGCTCCTACACGTGTGGGGTGAGTTCAAACCCAGGGAGCAGGGGGGAAATACATGGCCTGCACAAAACACCTTCCCAGGACTCTGCTGCTCCAGGCACCGAGGCACTGCGGGGCAAAACTGGGGCAGGAGAAGCTGGAAACTACAATGCTGAGATTTAATTTAATTTATTTATTTTTTTGGCAGTAGGAGCTTCGTTTTCTGCTTTCCAAGTTTCATTTCAAAGGTGCAGTTTGAACCTGGCAGGAACGAGCAGCAGAACCGGGCCACGACTTCCCGATTTTGGGACATTTAAAAGTTGCCATTGTACAAATCTGAGCTGCCCCAGCCCCTCTTCACTCCTCCAAGGCACTGAACCCCACGGTGTGTAGGGCTCCACTACAGCTTGTTCTTTACCTGTACATGCATTAAACAGCCTCATTTTTCTGTATTTTCAGTTCTTACATTTCATGATGGCTTTTCTTAAGTTTAATCACTGATTCCCAGGGTGGTTTGGGTGGGAAGGGACCTTAAAGACCATCCAGTTCCACCCCCTGCCATGGGCAGGGACAACTTACACTAGCCCAGGTTGCTCCAAGCCCTGTCCAACCTGGCCTTGGACACTTCCAGGGATCCAGGGGCAGCCACAGCTTCTCTGGAAAACCTGTGCCAGGGCCTGCCCACCCTCACAGGAAGGATTTTTTCCCATTATCCAATCTAAACCTGCTCTCTTTCAGTTCTAACTGAACCCCCTCAGGGTGCTGGTGACAGGGATGACTCCGGATGCCTTGGTTAGGAAGGATGATCTCTCAGCAGGTCCCACAGCACTGGAACAAGAGCCCACTCAGGGGGAAAGCAGTGCCTCCCCCTAACTGGGAGCCACCCACCTGCACCTGCAGACATCAGCCTGACAAGGCCATGCAGACTGTTATCAGTGGGGGACAAAAAGGGCACATTCAAACTCTGAACCAGTTCAGGCTCTGTGCTCCCAGTACAGCTGGAGAAGGCACTGGGTGAGGAGGGGGCCCACCCAAGGCCAGGAACAGCCCCCAGCTCTCCTGCCCTGGAGCTGTTGGAGGGTGAAAGATCTCCAGCTCAGTGCAGAGCGAGCTCGAGGGAAGGAGCTCAGGTTGTGCCTCGTGTCAGACATTCCCACAGAGCACAGCCCCGTTTCCAGGCACTGCAGGACTGCCCCCAGCTGAGCATGGAAAATTACAGGCCAAGGGGAGCTGTGGGCTGCACTTTCCTGCTGACACAAAGAAGGGCTGCAAGTCAATTTATAGCCACGGATCGGAGGCAACTCCTAATTTAAAAAATTCCAGTTTTAAACCACTTCCCACCAAATCACAGCCTGCGAGGATCCTCTCCTCCCAGAGCCCAGGCAGGGCTTTGCCAAGGGCCTGGAGGGAGCAGCAGTACCTGTGGTTACAGCACTGCTGCAGAGCTGGAGCCCCGAGTGGACTCCCAGGAGCAGCAAACCCTCCTCAGGAGGACCTGCTGCTGCTGCAGGAGGCCACCCCTGCAGGTTCTGGGGGGGGTGTCACTCACCAGATCTGTAGCTTGATCTTCTTTCCTTGTAATTCAACAGTTTTAATCTTGAAGTCTATCCCTAAAATAAACAAACACATAAATAAGTAATTAGTGTTTAATAAAAGGAAAAAATAAAAGCGATTCTGCATCAACTCCAAATGGCTGAGACAGAACAGCAGCTTTTTGCTTCTTCTTTTACAGAATCTTCAGGTAAACCAGGGATGTCCAGGCCCTCTGGAATGGGAGAGGAGCACAGAGACCAACAGAGCCAGGGCTTCAGAGGCTCTGCACTCGAGCACTGGGCACCTCCAGGGATCACAGGTAAGATCATGGAACATCCTGAGCTGG